GAAAGAAAGAAAGAAAGAAAGAAAGAAAGAAAGAAAGAAAGAAAGAAAGAAAGAAAGAAAGAAAGAAAGAAAGAAAGAAAAGAGAAAGTGAGAAAGGAGGCTGACAGGTCCAGGACTTGAACCGTGGTTGGTCACGTGGGAGTCCAGCATCCCTAATCACCACACCACCTGCCAGCTCCAGGAAAATCACTTTTGATCCTAAGGTCTTCTCTCATCCAAAACACACTTTTTTTTTTTTTCTTTTTTTTTTAATTCAGGACACACTTTGAAAAAACTGTAACCTTCTGGAGACTCTGTGGCCCCAATGATTACAGGCAAAGAGCCCCAGACCCACCCTGTCCCAGCAAGCCAGGTCTTACTCCTTGCTCTAGGTCATGAGTCCCCTGACGAATTGGAAGGGTTGCACTCCTTATATCTAGGGGTCTTCGGGTGCTGACTTCTGGATCAGGATTATAACTAGGGCTGGTGGTAAATGAGGCACTTAACACACGCACAAAATCTAAGAGGGGCCAAAAAACTCAGTGGTCGGTAAAAATGGTATCTTAATACAGTATTTTAATAAATCAAAATTAATGAAAAAAAAAAACCTCTAATGAACAAAATGTCTTTTAAGTAGAGATGAGCTCTGACAGGGCTGGCATTAGGGTGGATTGAGAGAGGGTGCACTGCAAGTGCAGGCTGGATCCCGCTCCACCTTCCAAGGCATCAGAACCCCTGGCGACGGGGTGGGAACTCCTTTCTTCACTGCCTGTCATCTTCACTTGTGCCACTAGAGGGAGAACGTCCACTATGCAAACCTCCTGTCCCTAGGCAGACAGGCTGGAAATCTACCCTGGTCTCTTCTCCAGGCTGCTTTCCAGATTCTAGACTCAGAGCCAAAGATGAGTGGAAAGAGAGAAAGAGAAGTACCATGTGACCATGACCCTGAGTCAGGAAAAAAATAAGAAAGCTGTACCTCTTCCTAACGATTTCAGTAAAGGGGGTTCAAATAGAAGATAAGAGGCCGAGACAGCTTGGAATAGTGCAGGAACACAGAAGCTGTGTAGGAAACAAGAAACGGGTTCCAGGGACCAGCAAATAGCATAATGGTCATGTCACTGGACTCCCACATAGGTAACCCCAGACCCAGCGACTTAAAACTCACGCCAGCGCATGTGCATGTGTGCCCAAGATCCTGAGAGAATGGAGAAAGGATTGAGGTGTGGCCATCCCTCCCAGAGGGTGATTTCTCACCTTCTGTTTCTCTGTCTCTCTTTGTCTCTCTGGCAAGCGTATGTGTCCTATAGCAAAAAGCTCTCTAAAATAAAAAAGAGAGAGAGCCTGATGTTCCAGTCCTGCTCTCAATTCAGGTTCCTCGTGCAGCTTTGACCAAGTCTTTTAACATATGGTGGCCTCGGTTTCCCCATCTGTGATATTAAGATGTTGAACCAGAGGATCTCAGAACCCGTTTATGTCTATAAAGCAGAATTAGGAAAGAGCTAAAGATTCCTGAAGCATAAAACTGGGTGAATCAGGCCAACGTGCACTGAAAGACTGAACTCTCACATTCAGACCTCTGACTCCACAAAAGATTTTTCAACCAATCGTTGTTACTGAGTTTCCTGAGCTAAGGTACAAACATCAGTCAACTTGTCTTGAATATTAGCCTGCTGTTATACTTTACATGCATTGTCTTTTCAACTCTCCAGGGCCCCTGTGTTCATCATCCTGACACATGGAGAAATTTAAGTCCTAGAAAGGTTAGGTCAATGCCAAAGGTCACTTGACTGGTGAGTGGCATAACCGGGATTAGAACCAGGCATGACTGAATCCAGAAACTGCACTTTCAGCTACAGAATGGGCCCATCTGTTACTGTAGGCTCTTCT